ATCTAGGATGCACACAGATGTGACATTGTTTCAGAACTTTACATCACTTGATAGGTATTACTCTAAATATCTAATGTGCTCTAATGCGTATGTTCATAAAACTGTGTTGCAGGTACTTTATCATAATTGATGATATATGGGAGTTAGGAACATGGGAAACTTTGAAATGTGCATTTGTCAAGAATACATTGGGCAGCAGAATAATTATCACAACACGTATAGTTGATGTTGCCAAATCTTGCTCTCCTTCTAGTGAAGATCTTGTCTATGAGATGAAACCACTCAGTGAGGCTGATTCAAAGAAATTGTTTTTCAAGAGGATATTTGGCTGTGAAGAAAACTGTCCTGATAGCTTGAAAGAAGCTGCCAATGATATTTTGAAAAAATGCCGTGGTCTACCTCTGGCCATCAATGCCATTTCTAGCTTGTTGGCCACAACAAGGGAAACAAAAGAAGAGTGGGATCGGGTGCGACATTCCATACGCTCTTCAAAGGTCAAAAGTGATATAATAGATACCATGAATTACATATTATCTCTTAGTTATTTTGATCTTCCCCACCACCTAAGAAGCTGCTTATTGTACTTGGCTCTGTTTCCTGAAGACGAATTGATTGAAAGGCAGCGGTTGGTACGCAGATGGATTTCTGAAGGCTTTATCCATGGAGAAAGTGGACAAGATCTCATGGAATTAGGAGAGGAATATTTTCACCAGCTTGTGAACAGAAGTCTAATACAGCCCGACAACATAGGGTATGACGGCAAGGCGGAGTATTGCCGAGTCCATGACACCATCCTTGATTTCCTAATTGACAAATCCTCCGAAGAGAACATGTGTACTGTCCTAAAGAAACAATGCAAGCCTACTGGCATAGTTCGTCGGCTCTCTATAATGGGGAATGAGGATGAAGAAATCGTGGAGCAATTGGATCTGTCACACGCTCGGTCAATCAGTGCTTTTGGGGATATCAAGCTATTGCCTTCGCTTGGGAGGTCAAAATGCTTGCGCGTGCTAGACTTGCAAGGCCACTATCAGTTGAAAAATCATCATATCAAGGATATTGAAAGACTCTATCAGCTGAGATACTTGGATGTCTCTTTTACAGGAATCACGGAGCTTCCCAGGCAAATTGGGGAGTTGCTGTATCTAGAGACGCTAGCTACATCCTATGAATTACGTGAGCTTCCTGAAAGCACAAGTCGGCTACAACGACTGGCACGTTTGTTTGTTTACCCTGGTTGTAAGCTTCCAGATGGGTTGGGAAACTTGATAAACTTGCAAGAGCTAGATTGCGTTAATGCCTTGCAGTTGAAGCATGTGGAAGAGCTCGGCAAACTAACAAATCTGAGAAAGCTAAGGATTAACTTGGACACTGGTGGGATAGAAGGCAACAAATTAGAACAGTCCAAGGAAAAGCTGGTGTCCTCTCTCTGTAAACTGGACGAATGCGGCCTCCGTTCCCTGAGTATTGATTATAAACTGGGAGAAAAGGATGGGGAGGAGCCGTTCCTCCCTGCTTTGGGTTGTATCCAGGAGGTTTGTGTATATGGACAAGATATCAGCCGGATTAGCAGATGGCTCGCGTCACTTCCCAACCTACACATGTTGTTTTTCGACGATCCAAAGATAGAGCAGCAGGAAATTGAGATGATTGGATTGATACCCAATCTGATCGATTTGTCGCTGCCTTTACGCAAAACAGACGACGCTGGGCGGCTCATCATCAGGCGTGAAGGATTTCAACAGTTGCAGAGTTTTGGGGTTTACAGTACTCGTATGGGAGTTTTAATGTTTGAACCGGGGGCTATGCCGAGGCTCAAGGAGCTTAAACTCTCTGGCTTCATGGAAAAGCCCAAATCTGCTGCGGGCGATTTCGACTTTGGCATCCAACGCCTCTCCAGCCTTGCTCGCTTCACTGTCAGCTTATCCTGCATTCGCTGGACGGCGGCAGAAGTAGAGGCTGCGGAGGAAGCTTTCAAGAGCATGGCCGAGGCGAACCCCAACCGTCCAATACTGGAGATGACAAGACTTAATCCGCACCTTATGTTACGAGACGAGCAAATAGGTATGACAGGCTCAGGTACTATTAACAGGTTTGTACTTTTTGTCTTGGTGAGCAGTAGATCAAAAGATGTGCATATGCTTCATTCTTTTCTCGGTCATCTATTTTCAGCTACAACGCCGGCCGTCAAGTCCTAGATGCCTAAACCGAGACGCGCCTTTGGTTATGGAGCCCAAGTCACGTACTCTGATTGGATGCGACAACAAATAAAGCTCCACATTTCTATTCGGGCCACCTCTTTGTCCCAAAGCTGGTGTACTCTTGTGATTTGTGTTGCGCAACTGATACTTCTGTATATGCCTGGGAGTATCACGAATTAGTGGAATGCCTGGGAGTACTCATATGACTAGGAATAAGTAAGACAAATATCACGAATTCAGAGTGGGATGCAATTTTTTTCTTCTCTTTTCGGTAAGACGGTAACATGGTTGTCGGCATAAGTAGATTGTCATTTGAGTATACTATGATAGTAGATTGTCTCTCCTAGTATTTTTTCCATTAATATTTGTGTATTCTTAGATTGAGACTTTGATATGTAACCCATATTTCTGTTGTTAGGAAAGACATACCGTGTAGCTTATCAGAAGAAAAGATCTGGCGTGCATCAATATTCTATAACCTGTATGCAGTAATCAGATCCAGATTTTTGTTCTGTATTCATTCTGCCCTTGGATCATACTCATTGCCATAGTTAAATGTTTGTGAGGACTTGTTGTCTCTCAATTGTAACCCTTGGAATAAAACTCCCATATGATTTGCCAAAAAAAAAACTAGCATATCACTGTTTTTTTTGTGCATCACATCCAAGAAAACATATATGGAGTAATAAAAAAAATTTCAACTTGGATGAAAAATGTGAAAATGGCCAAACCATAATGTTCAAGAGTCAGCGTGCTCGCCGAGGTGAACATTGTGGCGGTGGTGCTAGGGTTTGGCCTGGGATCAGGGAAGGAAAGGAAAATGGACGGAAAATGAATATGTGGTACACAAAGAGAAGGAAAAGGGTGCCCCCCTAGGTACTCACTGAAACCGCCTACAAACTAGAGGTGGTTTGATAGTACACACCGCCTCCAATCTTTCATGCAGGCGGTTTCAGATTCCCAACCGCCGTCATAGCTTTTTATATATAATAAAAAAAACACTGTGGTGTGGGTATTACAGGCGGCTTTGTTATGTTTGGTTACAACCATTTTCGAGGCCCGCCATTAATGCTTGTTTTTGTACTACTACCTCCGTCTCAGTTTACAAGTCCTACGCGTATACCTGGGTTGCCAATTTTATCACCCTAATATAAACTATATAACATAAAAATTATACCTTTTGAAAGTAGAAACTCCGAAGTTTATGTTGGTATATTTTTCATAATATATGACTTGTATTAGATTGGTCAAATTGACGACTTAGGAGTACGCGCGCGCCCTGTAAACTGAGAGAGAGGTAGTAGTGCATTTTTCATAATTCGAAAGAACTTTTGTCCAGAATCTAAACTAAAGTGATCTTCTTACGAAGCCGGCACCTGGAGGAGCTTTCTTAGGCGTTGAATTGTTCAAAGCTTGTGAATGAAATGAGTTGCCAATGGATGGGAAGGCAAGGAAAAAAGAGGCAATTCAAGATCATGCTATGAAATACATTGGTCTAGGGAGGAGAATCAACAAGATTGAGGTTGAAAATCAGACAGTGAGATGATGGAAATGGGAGCACAGATGCAGAATCGTACTCCATCCGCTCAAATTATTTGTCTTAAATTTCTTTAGATACCGATGTATTTAGACACATTTCGAATTCAGGACGGGGGTAATAGATGTTTGTTGCAGCTGTTGTCAAACAATAATTATTTGTATTTGAGATAGTGACTAAATGTATGTCATGTGGCTTGGATTTTAATAGCAACAAATCTTGTTACGAGTTATTTGTAGCTCTTCTAAAGGAAAATCAGGGGGTGCTCTGCTTCCTCTGCTTTGCTCTGCTTCAGCCGCACCTTTGTTACAGCGTACGCTCTCCCGCTGAGAAGTTTCCTCTGCTTCCCCGGTGCCCTAGCTCGACGCCGCCGCCTTGCCGTTGCCGTAGCCCTGCCGACGCCTCACATCCCCCCAGTCCTCCGCCTCGCCGCCTCCGACTTCAACGCCGGCCGCACCGCGTCACCATCTCCTGCCGCGATCTCGCACATTGGTTCTCGAGGTACGACTGCTCTCTGTCGTCCAGCCAACTCATCCTACCCTAATCAATCAATAGAGATCAGTGCTTGTCTAAGATGCCTGTTGAATGTGAGAAATTCTGCTCAGACGCCCTTGTAACTCTGAATGTTGGTCCACAGTCTTGCCAAATACAGTAGAAAATTTTATGAGGCAGTCTTGACAGAAATTCTGCTCACTAGAGAGAGACCGAGCTATTACTGTTACTGCATTTTTACATGGAACCTGTTCTTTTCCATGTGGGGTATAAGGAGAAGGGAAAACACTTCGATTCTAGTTTCAGTTTTTCGCATATAAAATTTGGCGGATGCTTTGCGTTTAAAATTCGACAGATGGAAACATCATCTGGGACCCTTTCTTCTGCTCTTTTTTGTGAATGCAGACTTGGATGCTCTTTTGCATTTTTTTTTTTGAGTTGAATGCTCTTTTGCGCATCTACTTATAACAATTTCATGTCATCTTGCACAGTATCACTATTCAGGTAGTACCTTTGCAACAATTCTGACTAAAAAAAGGACACATCCTAGTCCCAGCTGAAGAAGCATCACATGTGAGTAGGAAACACAACACAACAATAATTTCTGTCATCTCACTAGAGAAATCCGATGTTGCTCATGAGGTGGCTGCTAAACAAGCAGCAATACAGGGATCAGCAACAATAGCACAGGGGTCAGCAATAGTGTAGGGTACATCATCAGTTAGCCACGGACTCTATCTAGCATCAGGTCATTCTTGAGTCAAACTCTCTCATGGCGCCTGTATATCCGACTTGCGGATCACATGGACCTTCATCGTGAATCTGCTCGTGTCCGTCAGTTCGAAGAGGCAGATGTCATCTTCCTCCAGCCCGACATCCGAGATGAATTTCGGCCAGGCTCTGTCAATCCACCAAGTTCTGTTAGTTTTCCTCAAGCTCAACTTGCAGTCCCAATCCCTCTCGTCGCCCTCCAGCAGGAGGCGGAGACGTCCTGGCTGGGTCAGGAGACATGCCGAAGCATATTCATTGCCCAAGTACTGTCCACGGGCGCGACAGAGTGTCAGATATGACGATCAGTCTCGGATCAACGATTCATTCGGCAAAATGTAGAAAAGTGCACATTAGACAGCAAGTTTTTTGGGTGAGAAATGGATTATGTGAGTTCCGCGACGCAATCACAAAAGTAGTGGGGTCTCAAGATTTTCATGACAAAATGAAAAACTGACTACAGATTGTACGTAGTGGTCGTGGTATCTGAACTCACCAGAGAAGGAGCGGTAGCAACATCACTGGAGGTGATCACTTTCACAAACACAGGACATTCGGAACCAATTGCCTGAACTCTCTCTTCGACTTTGGCTTCCTGTTGGCTATGTAGAGGGGGCCCGGTTGATATGTAATTGTTGGACCTAGGAGCTTCTAAACCGGCTTCATTAGACTCGCGAGCTTGGAGTCCTGAAAAGCATTCCATGCTTCCTTATGGTGTTCACACAATGACCGTCGAAAATGTGGTGAAATGAAAAGAATGCACATGGCAGCTGCATTACTCTGACCTGATTTAGCCCAACGGAAGGATGTTGAAGCCATGTTCTGAGCTTGTGCACGACGGCCTTCTCTGGCGTTTGAAGAGTTTCCCATATCAAAACAAGGTTTCTCACAACCACTCGGGTCAAGGACAAGAACTTCGAGCTGGGCTTTCCCCTTGCTTCTGAAGACGAGGAGGTCATCGTCTTGCATGCGGTGACAATCTAGAAAACGACTCAACTCAGATTGGAGGATTATTTGATCGGCGCCATGCTTGCTTGCGCCAACAACGTACAACATGTCATTGCTATGGGCTTTGAGCTGAATGGGAGCTTCAGTTATTCCCTCTTTGAAAATGTCCAAAAGAGTCAACGGTATGTACTGCAAGAACAGAAGAAAGAAAAAAGAACACAAGCTGGAATTAATTAATAGCCTATGGATCGATCGGATTCAAAACACAAGCAGAAAATTATGTGGTGAAGGATGTAACTTACAACATGGCAGTCCTGTTTGGCATTTGCTTTGTTCACAGTTGCCACATGCAGACGAGATTCAGACCTCATGCTGCTCTGAGCTAGTTCTAGCACTTTCTTGTCTTGTTCATGGCTTAGCCTGGTATAGTCAATGTTGATTGATGTCTGAACGTGTGCAGGATCAGGCACCACTTGTTCTGCACATCAAGAAAGAAGATTGTTATAACCATCAGAAAAGCATTACCGAAAGCACTTGACGACTTGAAGGTCCTAATTGACTTCACCATTCAGCACATGACGATCACGAGGAGGTGGTGGGGAAGAGTTGCCGTGACCGGGTGAATCGGATATGTGAACCTCGAACTCGAAGCTGGAGTTCCCACGGTACACGAACCGGATGGAGGAGTTTTGTTCTATGTGATGCACCTTGACAAAGTCGTGCCATCCAGACCTAAGAACAATGTCACCAAACTCCCAACCGATTTTAACAGGGTACACGCGGCCATTAGGAGCTTCAAGTTGGATCTCCTCGAACTCAGTGATCAAGTTTCTCAGATGGCTTGCAACCGGCGGCCGTATGCGCTGTCCAAGGAGAATGAAGGTACACTCGGTTATTTAGAGACAGAGGTTTCACTGGTTGTGGAAAATTCAGAAAGAAAGAATTCAGGTTGCAGGATTACTGTAGAATGAACGCTTTGATGGTGCAGAAAGCTGAGAGCAATGATCTTAAGTGGCAAGTGGATCTTACTTTACTAGATTTATCTCAAGCACAGGAATAACAATCTAACCTTGACAGTCAATTATCTTACACATTCAGAGGTCAAATACTTGGATATCTCCACTACTCTATAGTCCTGTCAAAATGTGAATACTTTTTTGCAAGAAAATATGGGTAACATCTAACATGTCCCTGGTTCATTTCAGCCTTAGCTGTATTGTTCAGCCTTAGATTATTGTTCAAACAATATAGTATCTGGTAAAATTTTGGGGGCTTGAGGAATCTGGACACGTTGGACATATCAAGGTCTTTATTAGGATCAGACAAATTTTGGGGGCTCCATATTTACCATCTAACCATTATTATTTTTCAGTGAGATTCTGACCATTACCCCAACCAACACTATTTTCCATCACACAGAGTACAGACAGGCAGACATCGGAAGGAAGGGAAGAAGGAAGCGACGGTGAACCCGTACCATATGGTCCGCGAAATCGTCGCCGGCGACGAGGGAGAACTGCCTCGGGTGGTCGCCGGCATGGCTCCAGTAGCATCCTCCACCACTCGCATTCCTCGCAGCCGTCCGCCACACACTCGCAGCCCTCCGCGTCGCATTCCTCGCCGCAGCCTTACAGCCAGCCCGCGCAAGCAAGCAGACAGCCGTGAGGAATGGAAAGAGAGAAGAAAAGAGGGGCGTTTCTTGCTAACCAACAGGAGGAACGCTTGCCCGGCGGGGAACCATGGAGCGGCCGTACCTTCGTCAACGCCGTCCATGTCCATCTGCCGGCGGCCGGCGCCGCCGCCGCCGTGGAGAGTGGAGACTGAGTGAGTGAGTCAACCCCGGCCGGCCCGGCGTAGGAGCAGTACTCTGGAGGAAGAGGAAGAGGAAGAGGAAGCTGCTGCTGCACGCGGCGCGGCGAGCCGGAAGAGGAAGCGAGGCACGTGACCGCTAGTACTCTACTGTCTACTGTGTGTATCTCCTCCCTCTTCAATTATTTACCCACCCAAGTACTACTCCCTCCATTTCAAAATATAGTGCGTCTGCGCTTTCCGAGATCCAACTTTGACCATAAATTTAACCAACGAGACCGACTGCGATGGGAAAAAAATTATATAACTAAATACTTCTTTTGAATATGAATTCACTGGAACTTTTGCTCCCGCCACAGTCGGTCTCGTTGGTTAAATTTATGGTCAAAGTTAAAGCACGGGAATAGAGGAAGCACTATATTTTGAAACGGAGGGAGTACTACCCAACGCCCAACGGCTGTAAAAAATCACAAGTAGACAGGCATCAATCCTACTCTACCGGTGCCTACAATATATGCTAGTAATAGGAACATCTTCTCATTTATGTTCCAAAATATGTTTGGTTTGGCAGGAACTCATGTTTCACTCTGGCCAGGCCGGCTCATAATGCATTTCATTCATTTTAGGGAAAAGATATTTTCAAAACAAATGTGCAAAATCCACGAGTTTCAGAAAACGGTATTGAAAGTTCGGGGCGGGTTCGGATCGTACGGGTTCTGTTTGGCCGGTTCTTTATGTGATTATTACCATCTTTTTTAACAAAAAAGGAGAGATTTTGGACGAAAAGGCAACTTTTTGTAAAATGAAGGATATTTCTTCTACTACTTTTCTTATAAAAGAGTGGATTTTTCAAAAGCATTACACATGAAAATTATTGAGCTTTATTTTAAAAAATACATCAAAAACCAATAGTTTGGGTCGGATTCGGGTGGCATGGGTTGAGATTGACAGGTTTCGCTATTGGGTTCTTGTGGCGTATAAAGTAGCATAACCAGTTGAATGTCTATCTCTGTTTTGGGTACCGCTAGAGAAAACCGGTTACCGAGCGGTTACCGCGTTTCTCGCTGCCCTCTGGTAAATGGGCTTCCTGTGCAAATAAATTCGGCCCTTTTTGAAATTTTTGTCCGGCCCAGCTAGAGCCCGAGAAGCCACGGCTGCCACGCTGCGTCTCGCTACTCACACACCCAAACGCGAACCCTAGCAGCCGGAAACACCAGTCTCTCTCGTCTCTTTCTCCCCAATTCGTTCCCAAAAAGCTTGGCGGCGGCGGCGGCGGCGCCCAAGCCACCCCTTGGCTCCTGTCCAGCTCCAGCGCGGCCGTGCTTTCCCCCCTCCACGGTGCTCCTGGGGCGCTCCCCGTCATGGCCGGTGTTGCAAGGGGGATGGGGCGGGGTGATGGCGACGGAGATGGCGAGCCGCGAACTATAGGGATGGCTATCGTCGCCGGCGATCGTGGCGCGGGTCATGCCTCTATCACCGTCGGTCAGGGCAGAGGGGATGTGTTCCTTCATGGCCAATCGAGCAGATCCGGAGGCAGAGGTCATGGCAGCAGCAGTGCGACCATCCCCGTCGACCGTTCGTCACGAGGAGGAGGAGAACAATCCACAGGATTCACGGACGACATCAATCGGAGCGGATATGCCACTGGCAGGGCTCGTTATGGTGGCATAAGCAGAGGCCCGGAGGTTCCATTGCCAATTCCAACACCAAAGAAAGGTTATTTCTTCAGATTCCAATATGTTTTTCAATTTACCAGTTATGTTTTCCAGCTCATAATGCATTTCATTCATTTTAGAGAAAGAGTATTTTTTTAAAGCATATGTGAAAAAATCCACGAGCTTTATAAAAAGGTATTGAAGGCTCGGGTCGGGTTCGGATCGTACGGGTTGCATTTGACCGGTTCTTTATGTGATTGTTACCATCTTTTTGAACAAAAAAGGGGGAGGTTTTGGATTAAAAGGCAACTTTTTGTAAAATAAATGATATTTCTTCTACTACTTCTCTTATAAAAGAGTGGATTTTTCAAAAGCATTATACGAAAATTATTGAGTTTTATTTTAAAAAATACATGAAAACAAATAGTTTGGGTCGGGTTCGGGTGGCATGGGCTGGGATTGACAGGTTTCTGTATTGGGTTCGTGTGGCGTGGATTTTTCTCTGTGTCGTCTAATGTAAAAAGTAGCATAACTGCTTGAATGTTTATACGATTATGAATACAAGTTTTGGTTTTGTCTTGAAGAAGGGAGATATTGGATGGAAAGCAGGCTTTCTATTTATTTTTACGAATGAGACCTTTAGCACATAAATTTAGGGTGGGTATTGCCCCGCGGTAAAGCTGGGCATGGGCAGCCTGGACAGAAAGCCCGACATCAAGGTTGGGCTCTGGCCTTGCTTTTCTACCTGAATAAGTGAAATGAGGGATTATGTTTGAGATAGGTGTAGTGATTCATCCCACTCAAAAAAAGGTGTATGATTCATTAATTAGCCACAATATGGTTTATTTAGTTTTAAATACATAGATTGTCGTATAGCATGTTGCTCGGTTGGACAGGTCTCAGGCCCGACTTTTCATTTTTAGGTCAAGCTTTTGTAGAGCTTGGTTGTAACACCCCTGTACTGATGAGCTACAGTAACCCCTAGGGTTAAGCTAATTATTTTTTGCTAATAAGTGCGTGATCATCTTTGCTTCTATCTCGTTTCAAATTCCAGTCAAACTAAAATGTCCATCTTGTGGTAAATATTCATTTGTTAATATTGTTGGTAAACCAACATTTTTGTAAAGTGTTTAAGGCCCTAAACTAATTAAATAAGTGGTTAAAGCAAATATTTTAATGCCTTTTTAATTTATAAAAATGCTAAACTAAGTCATTTAATTGCTAGACTAGTTGTGGCAGTAGCCTAACTTATAATAATAATTTAGGTTCAAGTTTTGTTTGTTATAAGACTATTTTGTTTTAAAAGAATTAGAACAGAAAAGTTTTTAAAAGAAAACAAAAGCTCAATTAAATGAAAGAGAGAGGTCCACTGCTCCCGAGGCCTTAGCC